TGAACGAGAACGCAAAGCCTAGGCAGAAGTGTTTTTAAACTTTGGGACAACACCTGACCGTTCCAAAGTGATGTCACGTAAACACAAGTCAACAATTTACCTCATACTCGTAGCCTACATAAATTTGACGTACAGTGAGTGGGCCGAGACCCACACCCAATGCTGTAATACAAACTTACAGTAACAGAGAAAATATATTAAAAACAAATCTCTAAAGCGTCAACAAGGCAATAAAGCAACACAAAAAATAAGCTTGTATCACAATTTTGCTGTGTTTTTTTAAACTGTGTAATTGTATTTTACATCCACTACGAATGACGAATTCACACAAAGATGAGTGCACACGCATGTGTGTTAAGCTCTTAAGTGGATATCGAGCGTGGGTATTAGTCAGGAATATCTCCCAGCCCGTGTCACCTCTCTGCTCGCGCCTGAGGTCGTGGTGGAGGATAATGGCCAACAATATACGCATATCACTCTGACGTACAACCATATTTGAAAAGACTTGCTTTACATTTTCAAATGTAGTTTTCGTGATTATACATGTCGTACCTAGTAGCGAGATTGCACTTCTCGGCCTACTATGCAAGACCCGATTTGCCTAATAGGCCGAGTGATTTTCTTTATCTTCAATAAATTGTTTCCTATTGGTTTATTTGAAATATTAATATTATATTAAGAACATAAATTATTGATTAAGTTATGTTAGTTTAGGTTAGGTTAAGTTAGGTTAGGTTAGGTAGGGTTGGTTAGGTTCGGTTATATATCTACGTTCGTTTTAACGCAAATTTAAAAAAAAAATTAGCTCAAACATAATGAAATGAAGAGCTTTATCATTTCTTAAGAAAAAAATTTGAAAAATATTGAAATTCTGGAAAACTTGGCTTATTAGGCATATCGGCCCTTGCATAGTAGGCAAAGAACTGCGTTCTGGCTATTAGATACAACATATATATTGCAGAATAACTACAGCGAAAAATTAAAGGTTAACCTCGTTAAGCGTTTAGCTGTTATCCTTTCAAATTTTTCCCTCTGGTTATTTTGAATAAATATATTATACACACACACACGTTTATATATATATATATATATATATATATATATATATATATATATATATATATATATATTTTATTAAATATGACCGAAAAAGTAAGATTAATAATTCTAACACGAATTTTCTCAATCTTTCGTACATTATGCTTCACTGTTGGAGGTAAATCAAAAATCACTTCTCCAAAATTCATTTTTATTTTGAAAATTTTACAGGATTTCCTATTTTACAGGAACTTCTTTTCCACAGCTCATAAAACAGAGGAAAGGGTCCTGAAAGATATTGTTAATAGAAACGTTATCCCTACAGACAAAAATCAGAGGATACAACTGACGATTTACTATAAAACCAGAAAAACGGCCAGCCTACTCATGAGAAACTCTCCAGACACGAAACAGAACGCTTTAAAAGAGACTAACGTCGTCTATGCCTTCAAATGCCCACTTGGGGACTGTAAGCTCCAAAAAACCCAGTATATAGGCAAGACAACAACATCTCTTTCTAGGCGTTTAACGATGCATAAACAACAGGGCTCCATTAAGGAACATATAATCTCTTCCCATAACCAAACCATCGCCAGAGAAATCCTAGTAAACAACACAGAAATCATTGATAGATACAGCGATAGCAGGCGGCTAGACGTTTGCGAGGCACTACACATCAAGAAGTCAACACCAGCAATCAACAGCCAATTATTGCACAACTATATTCTACCCACCTCAAGACTCCGCTCCAATATAGAAGCATCAAGAAATATGGACCAATAGGCTTTCTACAAACACTTCTATTCAATATCCATTGTTTCGTGTTCTGTCTTGTGTTGATACTTTTAATACCCTATTAATATCCTCTAATGCCACATCATCCTTCCCACCTTACTCAAATGTAATGCCACATCACCCTTCCCACCTCACTCAAATGTAGATATAAAATCAGGGAAACGCAAGTTCTAATCAGTTGTGTATTTGTGAAGTCTTTGAAAATGTAATAAGTTTTACGAAACGCGCCCGTGTCGCGTCAGACTAGAAATAAAAATGAATTTTGGAGAAGTGATTTTTGATTTACCTCCAACAGTGAAGCATAATGTACGAAAGATTGAGAAAATTCGTGTTAGAATTATTAATCTTACTTTTTCGGTCATATTTAATAAAATATGTCTACAGGAAAGACTGCTACCAAAATATACTAATATATATATATATATATATATATATATATATATATATAAGAAAGTTTGTGAGGGTACCACCTCTGGTGCCAATGTGGGGACCCATAGCCTCGGAGAAGAAAATAAAAAGTATTCAGAGGAGTATATATATATTAAATATGACCGAAAAAGTAAGATTAATAATTCTAACACGAATTTTCTCAATATTTCTTATATTTCTTTTCACTGATGATAGTAATTGAAAAATCAATTCTCCAAAATTCATTTTTAGACTAGAAATAAAAATTAATTTTGGAGAATTGATTTTTCAATTACCATCATCAGTGAAAAGAAATATAAGAAATATTGAGAAAATTCGTGTTAGAATTATTAATCTTACTTTTTCGGTCATATTTAATTATATATATATATATATATATATATATATATATATATATATATATATATATATATATATATATATGAGAAAGCTGCATGAACACGCAAGTCATAGATCACTAAGAACTGTGTGTGACCCGGCCAGGATTCGGGTCCAGAGAAGATCATTGGTGCGGTGGTCATGGTACTGTGTACGTTAAGGGGTGATCCTAGACGGCATGGGTTCGAATCCTGGCAGGGTCAAATAAGAGTTCTTAGTGATTATATATATATTATATATATATATAATTTATTAATTTATTTTTTATCTATATTTCCATATAACCGCCGAAGCCGTTAATGCCAAAACTGTTAAAGTTTAAAATTCAACCGAAAAAGATCAAGGCAAATGGGAGGGGGGGGGGCATATGACAAGTCGTTGGCTTCCTGTCCTTATCGAGGCCACTTAAGTGTTTTGGCCCTCAAGTAAATTCAGCTAAATATATTATAATAATAAAAAAATGCTGAGGCTGACCCGGTAAGATTTTGATAGCTTAACAGGGCTGTTGATAAAAAAGTGGAATGTTTACATTTTTAAATACATTACATTAGCGCAATTCTGAAATCAAATGATTGTTATTATTAAACATTCTTACATACCTTATTACGTGCCAAATAGCATAAACAATCTAGTACTATTATTATATTTCATATTGTTTATTCGCACAATTATAACAAACTCATATCCTGACAAGTGGGAATTTATCACAGGTATACAATTTGTAGCTAGTTTCGGCGATGCACAAGTCTGCACACACAATTCAGCGTAAAATAAAATTCAGTGGCTAGAGCTTCGGTCTCACACATAGGGTCCACGGTTCGAGTCTCCTAGAGCCCAGGTGGCTGGAATGATTCAGTGTAATTGTAATTACCCGAGTGCAGTTATAGGATGAGAGCTACGCTCGTGGTGTCCAGTGGGGTCTTCAACCTATCAACCTTCTGGTGTAAACATTATGTAAACATTATATAACATTAAGTAAAAATATATAACTCGAACACTGTTCATGTAGGACAGACGTAAATCTGTGTGTTTCTATATAAAAGTATTTCTGTTTAAAAGCATTACAATCACCATATGTGGTTGATCTTTAAATCACTGAACTATATGTTTAATAGACCTCTAACCCTGTCCTTGTAGGACAGAAGAAAATGTATATATGATGGTCAGCCTTGTAAATGTATGGCCACATTTGTGACAGAAAATAATAAAAATAAATAAATAAAACAAAAAACCCTACCGAGTACAATTCAATAATCTAGCTACCAGTTGTGGCGTACAGTAGGGGGCCCCACACACAACCAGCTGGTGGGAAGCTGTTGATCAACCTCACGCTAAATATTTAGATGTGGTCGTTGTAGTCACACTCGCCGCTCTGTCGACATCCACACACCTTGCCGCCACAAGGACCAGTATAATGTGCAAGTACGAAGACAAGAACCAACATCATCAACACAACCAACAGCAATAGCATCAATAGCAGAGGATTCATCAACACTATAAGCAACATCAATAACACTGCAGTAAATGCAACACCACCATTAGCTCTGTAAGGAATAACTGTGCAGCAACAATAACCCCGGCAGAGTACATGTTATATAATATTAACCATAATAAAAACAGCAATTATAATAAAAAAGAAAGTTGGTTGCATATCAAATTCACGGACACTAACGGTGGAGTCCGCGGGCGCGGGGAAGAGACCATAACTAGGCAGGTAATTGTGGTAACAGGATTGTTGGCATAGAATAAGTTGAATTTTTCTTTTGAGCGTGCTATAAGCCTCCCTCCCTCCCTTCCCCCCCTCACTATAAGCCTCGTCTATATGTTAAGACACCTCACAAGGTTTAAAGAGCTCGTGAGAGCTTCTCTCGCATATATCTTAAATACTCCCCCAAAACTTTTGGGTCGTCCAACACCGAAAAGCCACAAACAAAACCAGTTTTACGGGTTCCAGAAATCTCTGGATACATTGAAACAAATATAGGTACGTTGCATGATGTGCTGTTCAACATTAATGAACCGAAATCTAAGTTTTCGAGCATTTTCAGTGTTGTAATAAATAGTCTAACTGTAATCATTCTTTATTAATTGTGCATAACCTGAAAGGCTTCCTACGTAGCTGGCACGCACACACTTTACCGGCATGATAATTACACTAAAAATTAAACACGGCAGTCAAAACAAGGTAAAAGCCTGGCGTTGGACATACACACACACACACACTCACGAACACACACATAAACGCACATACGCTCGCAACTCACAGCTGAGCTTGTTAGCAGACGACACTCCCGTACCATAGCCTACACTTCCTCAATTTTTATTTCCCAACCCGTGCAATGATAGCCTCAAATTCTTACCTTCTTTGCCGGCGGGTAACATGGCGGAAGACGTAATCCAAATTTTGAGCACAAACAACACTAGGAAAGCACAAAAGTCATCGCCATTCGAGCGGGGTAAAACACACACACACTCACACCACAGGTTGAACCAGCACTGGGTTGGCCAGCTGACCGGGAGTCTGGCCGTGTTTACCCCGGGAGCAGCCTCCCCCTGCCGCCAAGAGATGGCTCTGCCCGCCAACCCTCCGCCACAGAAAGCGGGAACAACCGCTGGCTGGCTGTACGGAATAATTTATGGCTGTGGGACTCTTGTGCATGTAAAAATATCCATTGCAAGGAGAGCAAAGGTCATTTCACCTGGCAAAAGATGGGCGAGTTGGGAATGAGGAGAGGTAGCCTGAACGCTTAGGGATGTACTTGGGTTGGCGATCAAAGTTTTATGGAGGGCTCAAAATAACACGCTATGCATGTTAGCGGCTTTGCAAGAGTAATACTCAAACACCATTGTACTTTCACAACCAATTGTATCTTTTCTTCTTTATAAATAAATAAATAAAACCAGTGTCAGATGTAATTAAACGTCAAAAGGAAGAGTGGCCTAGTATGGAAGAGCCGATTTACCTATCAGACAATAATTTTCGTTATTTTCAAATTAGTTTATTCCAAATAATAGTATTATATTATATATTACGAACATGAATTATTGATTTAGGTTAGTTTAGGATATGATAAGACAGAACGTGTAGGTTAGGTTAGGTTTTATCAACTTTGTTGGTTTAATTAAAAAAATTATATATCTATACATAAAACCTAAAAGGGGTACCACCTCTGGTGCAATTTGACAGTTATTGCACCAGAGGTGGTACCCCTTTTAGGTTTTATGTATATGTAACTATCAAATTGGTATAATAATACTTAGGCTAACTCATCCTAATCCTTGCACAGAAGCCCTCCAGAATTTCTTTATTGAAGATCAGCATTGTTCCAAATGGATAACAAAAGCTGGAACTCAAGCAAAGCTCAACGCCTTAAGCCATATTGATGCTCTGTCCACAGAGCATTCTCTCTCTCAAATCATATACACTGATGGTTCCCTACACCGCACCACGGGTGCAGCTGGAAGTGCAGTTGTTCTGACAATGGGCGATGGCTTGTACTTTGAGTGGGGAGTCCGTATAAACAACTGGGCCTCTACCCTTCAGACTGAACTATTTGCCTTGATCCTTGCACTGAAATGTGTACAAGTCTCCAAACTTGATACATTAATTGTAAGTGACTCCTTATCATCCTTAAATGCTCTCAACTCTTTAAGACATAACTGTAACATGCTCGTGTCCGAAGCTAGACACAAATACAACAAAATTATTAAGGATGGTAACAGAGTCCATTTCATGTGGTCTCCATCTCATGTTGGCCTCCGAATGCATGATAGAGCTGATAAGTTAGCCAAAGAATCTGCCTTTAAAGGAGCCGTTGAGTGTAACCTTGGATTGTCAATGAGCAATCTGAGAGCAGCAGTACACCGAGAACTTCAACAAGATCTTGTAGATCTGAGGCAAAGTGAAATTGACACCAGTAATTCCATCTATCATCATACTATCATGCAAGAGGAGCCACACATCTATGGATCATCCAATAAAATCAGCAGACTTCTAGATGTTACTACTGCTCGGCTTAGACTCGGTTACAAGTATCTCTGGGAATTCTCATTATCTGCTGATGTAGACCTGACCAAATGTAAACTGTGTCAACAAAATTATTCGCACACCCTCCGTCACTATGTGATGGAGTGCGAAAAGATACGTGAATTTAGAGACAATTCTATAACCAATGTTCCAGCGATGTGTAAATATTTCATTCAAAATGATCTGCTACCAGAAATTTTAGCCAAATATCCCCAGTTTGCTAACTGTAGGTAGTAACTAAGTGATTGTAACCTATCCACCGCTGCCCACTGGATGGGGGGCGGTGTGCAGGACAAACATATCAATTGTGACACTAGCTCTCCACATATGTCAGTTGCTTAATTTAGAACCTGTACTTGAGGTCGATCTCGAACCCATTGTTGATGTGACGACTTATATTGAATTTTGTAACTAGCTCATCAAGATTGTAACTTGCTTAGCTAAATGAATTGTGGGGTTCAGTCCCTGAGCCCATTATGTGCCTCTGTAACCCTTTCCACTACCGCCCACAAGATGGGTATGGGGTGCATAATAAATGAACTAAACTAACTTGTGTATATATACATTTAACTTTATTTTAAAATTTCATTATACAAAAAGATTTCAACTGATTTCGTTTGAACACTTCCGGAACAAGTGCTTCACTGACGAATTTTGTACCAATCACAACGCTGTAAATGCTACGTACTACAAATACAAATAATCGCCAACAGAACCTAAACACCTAACCTATGCAGGCGATGAGTCACAATAACGTGGCTAAAGTATGTTGACCAGACCACACACTAGAAGGTGAAGGGACGACGACGTTCCGGTCCTTCCTAGACCAATCTCAAGTCGACACAATCGACTTGAGAATAGTCTAGGACGGACCGAAACGGCGTCGTCCCTTCACCTTCTAGTGTGTGGTCTGGTCAACACCTAACCTAACCTATGCCTATATATGCACAATATGCTATCTTGAGGTTATCTTGAGATGATTTCAGGGCTTTAGTGTCTCCTCGACCAGGCCTCCACCCCAGGAAGCAGCCCGTGACAGCTGACTAACACCCAGGTACCTATTTTACTGCTAGATAACAGGGGCATAGGGTGAAAGAAACTCTGCCCATTGTTTCTCGCCGGCGCCCGGGATCGAACCCGGGACCACAGGATCACAAGTCCAGCGTGCTGTCCGCTCGGCCGACCGGCTATTATAATATAAATTGATATTTGAGAAAATTCATGTTCTGAATGAACATCATGTAAAAAGTTATGAATACGTCTGTGGGGTCGATCGCTGGATGTAATGAACTTGAGTCGAGGACGGGTTGCATCCAGCGGTTGACCCCACAGACGCAGTCATCAATGTTAACTTGCTGTTCATTTAAAACGGGAATTTTCTCAGATAAATTAATATTATAATTTATTAACATATTGTGCATATATAGCCATAGGTTAGGTGTTTAGGTTCTGTTGGCGATTATTTGTATTCGTAGTACGTGGGTGAAACATTTATAGCGTTGTGGATCGAACAAAATTCGTCAGTGAAGCACTTGTTCAGGAAGTGTCCGAACGAAATCAGTTGCAAGTCGTGTGTAAACTACAGTTCGTCCTCCAAACAAAGACCCAAAAGTGATTCTATGCACCCGTCAAACCCCCTGTTTATGAATGAAAAACAGTTTACACACGACTCACAACTGATTTCGTTCGAACACGGAACAAGTGCTTCACTGCAACCCATCCTCGACTCAAGTCCATTACATTCAGCGGTCGACCCCACAGACGCATTCATAATTTTAACATGCTGTTCATTCAAAACGGGAATTTTCTTAAGTATAAATTAATATTATAATATATTAGCATATTGTGTATAAATAGGCATAGGTTAGGTTAGGTCAGGTGTTTAGGTTCTGTTGGCGATTATTTGTATTTGTAGTACGTGGGTGAAGCATTTACAGCGTTGTGGTTCGAACAAAATTCGTCAGTGAAGCACTTGTTCCGGATATGTTCGAACGTCAGCAGTTGTGAGTCGTGTGTAAACCGCTTTTCATTCATAAACAGGGGGTTTGGCGGGTGCATGGAATCACTTTTGGATCTTTGTTTGGAGGACGGGCTGTTCACTGACGAATTTTGTTCGAACCACAACGCTATAAATGCTTCACACACGTACTACGAATACAAATAATCGCCAACAGAACCTAAACACCTAACCTATGCGTACATATGCACAATATGCTAATGTATTATAATATTAGTTTATACTTGAGAAAATTCCCGTTTTGAATGAACACCATGTAAAAATTTATAAATGCGTCTGTGGAGTCGACCGCTAGATGGAATGGACTTTGAGGACGGGTTGGTAAACTATTTTTCATTCATAAACAGGGGGTTTGGCGGGTGCATGGAATCACTTTTGGGTCTTTGTCTGGAGGACGGGCTGGTAATTGAGTACCTGATTATTAACTAATTGGCCTTACGAGTCATAAATACTCATACTCCGCCCAAGTAAAACAGAAACAAGTAACACTTAGTGGGCCAGCCAGAGGCTTAGGGCCTGCGCAGGAATATCCCTGCAAAAAAAAAAAAAAAAAAAAAAAATAGTTAGCCGGGCATGTTCAATGAACATTAATGGGTGAGGCTTACCATGAGCTATGGGAAGGGAAAACTGCCTAATTGGTGTCCTAAGGTCTGTTCCTGTACAAATCTGATAAAAAAAAGAAGTCTGTGGAGAGCGTCAACTTGATGTTATCTTCGTGATTAATGAAAACTAAATAGATACATTACTATCAACAATAAAATTTACTGGGACCACATCAATGAAAGAAAAACAATATATTTAGATAGTATCCAAAGGAGGGTAGCATTTAATTAATATAAGTATCAGGGCATTAACTTGGGACAAAATAAACAACTAATAAAGGTAAAAAGAATATGCCATACCTTTTCGGTTTCCTTTCGTTGGTTCTGAGGATCAATGTTCCCGCGGCTCAGTTCTGTCTAGGCCTCCTGGTCTGGTCAAGAAGGCTGTTAAATGCAGTTGCTCGCAGCCTAACACGTGAATCACAGCCCGGTTAATCAGGTGTCCTTTGGAGGCGTTTATCAAGTTCTCATTTGAATACCAGAGGTCGGCTTATTCTATACCCCTTTTTTAGAGGGAATACTGAAACGTCCTGGACCCTTGATATTGATAAAATTGTACGTGTACCAGTGCCACTGAAAGCAACTCTGCTTTCAATGGCACTGTTTTGCACTTCCTGCCATGCCTATACTGGTTTCGCGTGTAGTTATTTCCACGTGCAGATTTATAACCAATATCTAATCTTTCGATTGCAAATTATTATATCTTTCTCCCGACCGTGCTCTAGGGAACACAACTTTAAAAATGTTAAGCGGTTCCAATAATTTAGAAGTTTCAGTGATTCGGCCAGTTTAATATATGTACACAATCTCCAGATCAACAATTTATTCAGCTTTGAATGGCGTTGTTATTGTGCAACAATATTCTACCCTAGAGAACACTACTTTCTTGTATTATTTATATATACACGAGTTTTTACATTCTTGTAAAGCACGCATAGCGTTTCGGGCAGGTGCGTAATCCAAATTTTCCCCAGGAATACGGCCCGCCAAATTGTTTAACAACCAAGTACCCTTCACTTCAGTACCAAGTACAAAGTTCACTATTGAGTGAACAAAAGCTACAGTTAAGGATTGCCGCCCAGTCAATCCTCCCCGGACAGGATACGGACCCAGGCCAAAGGGGCCGGGTGAGTGCTTTACCACGGGGACTGTCACAACTACTGCCATGAAAAGTATAAATGATGCAGTATCTCTAGTTTGAAAGGTTCTTGTTATCCAACCTGTCATATTTCTTGCAGTTACGACAGCTATATTATTATGCTCTTTAAAAGTAAGGTCTTCGGGCATAGTTATTCCCAAATTATTGATATTGCTTTTTCATTCTAATGCAATTTGAGTGCATTTGATATGTGGTTTCCATTTTGATATTCTCATTTATTCCATAGTGCAGGAGCTGTAACTTATCTTCATTAAACATCATATTTTCTGTGGCCCATCGAAATACATAATTTAGCTTGCTGACTTCTCTATATTGCCGACTCTCAAAAATCGTAGTCATCTGCAAAGTATGATACGGTACTATATAGTGTACTCACCTAGTTGTGCTTGAGGTGGGTTGAGCTTTGGTTCTTTGGCCCCGAAACCCAACCGTCAATCTACTGGTGTAGATTCCTGAGCGTCTCAAGCTCAGGACCTAGATTCACGAAGCTCCATGTATTTCTTCGTAAGTAGGTTTGCTACGAAGGTTCCTAAGTAAGCCCTAAGAAGATGCTTAAGTGCAATTCAGGAAGGTCCACTTAGGAAGATATTTGTCGTTTGGCCAATCAGAGAGCAGGCAACATTCTTCATATTGAAGATTTAGCGCTGGCTTATCGGAGCTCTACTGCCTCCTATTTACGTAGAATTTTCGTATAAAATTAGTATATTTCGAAGTAAAACTATGTTTTTTCAACTTCTACAGCCAGCACCGACATTGTAGTAAACAAATATGTTGCATTTGTTGTTTACCTACGTAATTCTAAGAGATACTGAGTAGCTGTCCTTGTTGCTCGGAAGATGCGCTGACAATTATTGTATATATTTACTGAATTTACCCAAGGGCCACTAACTATCTAGTGGCCTCGAAGAGGACAAAGCCGGCGGCTTGTTAAAGGGCCCGCCAATTGTCTTAATGATATTTTTAGCTGGAATTTGGCATTTACGGCTTCAGCGGGTAGGCGGTACCATGGGTTTATAGCCCTCTTGGTGGAAAAAACATGTTTTCAGTCCTACTTGAGAGAACATACACTCCAATACTATATCTGTGATTGCCCTGTTATCAGTGACTTCATACCAAATGGTATGAGGTACTTTGAGCTCTGTAATTGAGTTATATCCAGTTTACGTAAAGCTACGAGTGGTCGAAACCACACTTAAATCCCGGAATGAACTTACGAAGGTTTTTCCACTTAGGGTAGCTAATTGAATACGGACGTAGCCGCCACGAAGGCGCTAAGAGGGAAAACCTTCGTAAGTACCTTCCTGAATCCGGCCCCTGGATTATGTAGAATCTGGTGATTCCATGCATTTTGTGATCTTATTGCACAAAAAATTCTTTATGCACAATGTTTGTGCTATTGGTATATACAAATTGTCCTGTTTTTATTTCCTCGTGTGAGGTGGCAATATTCCCGCTGTTTTAAATTATGATTGTCAAAGTATATAAGCTCAGTCTCCAATTAATACGATTTTTTTTCAATTTCGAATGAATATGGAATTCGGACATGCATAGGCACTGTCTATGGCTGCTTTAAGTCGAATGGGGTTAGGGTAATACCTGATGTATATAATTTGGATTACAGTACCAATCTTCAAAATGTGGGGTTTACTGAAAGAATTGTATTGTACTTACCAAAACGCACATCTAATTTTTGAGATTGTATTGGATCTGTGACCCTGGTCTAGTCCATAAAATGACCGCAAGCAGAATCTCGGGTAAAATAAAGGTAGATTCCCAGTTGTCGTACATAACAGTGACAGTGAACCAAAAAATCCAGTCAGAGTAGTGTGAAGCTGTTACACAAAGTACGGTCTTCGCAGTTATTCTTCTACACACAAGCGGGAAAACAGCTTTTTCCTTAACTGACACCTTAAAAGATAAAAAAAAAACTGCAGAAAAATTCCTATCTGATACTACAAAGCGCTTCCAGTTGACAATGTTAAATCATGACGTTCAATGACGACATATTCCATGCACAGAAATTACTTCAAAATGGAAAAAAACCCTAGAGTATGGGACAGAACATATATATTCTTATAGACAGGAGAAAACTAGTCAGACAGGAATAATGATGTTCGAAACTTAGCACAATTGCCATAGCAACCACCAGGAAAAGGCGATGGTACATAATGAGAACTTTCAAACATGTGAAAAAATTACCTCCGTTCACAGTATTTACCTGGTTGATGGGGTTCTGGGAGGAGTTCTACTCCCAAGTCCGGCCCGAGGCCAGACTTGTCTTGTGAGTTTGGTCTACTAGGCTGTTGCTTGGAGCGGCCCGCAGGGCCCACATACCCACTACAGCCCGGTTGATCCGGCACTCCTTGGTATTTCGCGTGAATATTAATTAACATTTCTCTGGTCTCCATTCACATGAGTAACTTTAATACTTCGAGATGGAACGGCTCCAGTAGTTTAAATGATTCAGACTATACAGGCAGCAAAGGATCAGATTTGCTAAAATACATCTGGAAGAAAGAGCACGAGGAAATTATTTTAGGGATAAGTATGTAGTCACTAATGGAGGTGGATAAAAACCTGCCAATCCAGGTATAGATATCAGTGCTGGTAAGGGTCAATGAGTTAGCCAAGAGAATCAGCAGCTTTTGAAATAATTTAAAAAGCTTAGAGGCAGTAACACACACACACGAGCAGCAAAGACATGCATGTTTACTGAAAAATAAGAATGCTTGATTAACAAGTGATAGTATTAGGACAGCCATTACATAGGGGAGTAACATTAAAAAGTATAGCCACAAGAGTATGACGAACACAAAGCATCGGTTCCTGGAGATTAGTAACTTGAGTACTATACCTGTATGACTTTCTTCAGATAATTATTACCAGTGTCCAGTGCTAATTGGGACTAGTGATGGTCACTTGTGGTCTTGCCTTTGTTATCCTTTTTTCTCCTTACTTTTCAACTGGACATCCATTTAAAGTTCAATAAGATTTGAATTAAAGTATTGTATATTCCACTTTAAATACATTCAAAGCAGAAAAAAAGGTTTGGAGCAAAAAAGTATTATACAATAAAGAGAGGACAAAGGAAATCTGTGAAATCAGGCTTGGGCGTTATAATTCAAGCAATAAAGAATGGGTGGGAAGAAACCTGGGTCATGTAAAGTTGTAGACTGATTCAGTCAAGGAAAAGGTTTAAGCCATGAAGCAAGCAAGTTCTTCAGAAACAAACACGGTTGAGAAAATTATTTAGAGATAAAGCCATTTTTCCTTTAAACGAGAAAGGAGATATCTTATTTAGTGAACGGGAAAAATTGAAGGGGGTCTATACAGGGTACTACCTATCAAGGCAGCTAACAGGCACCCCTGGGTAACTATATACTGGACCTGTATTATTTACCATATTATGCAATAATTATAATTGACATAAATTTATCATTTTGGTCAAGTGTTCAACATCTTGGTGCTGTACCACTGAACTATAATAGGACAGGCCTCTAACCCCTGTCTATGGAAGACAACACAATACTGTACATACAAGATTGCTAGTAATTGAACAGCAGTCTGGTCATATTAAAAAGAAAAGCTTACCTGTTTAATTTTTTTGTTTTGTTTGGGAAAGAGAAATCAACACTTTTTCCAAGAGTTGGGATCAAGCAATTATCAAAATGAGGCATCAAGTTTAGATTACATCACCATGTTCACACAACCCGTCCTCTTAAAAATAACGTCACTTTTCGCTCGTATGCGCGCTATGGCCAAATTTGGACGTAATTTGAAATGAAATACTCACAAAAGTGACGTACTGTACCCGTTTTCTGCGAGTCGCCCGGCTTACTCGGTAAGGTTAAAAAAGGACACTTTCAATTAACGTTTTGAAACTTTTATGAGAATTTCCTGCCCACCTAACCTATCAGGACCCTTAACTTACTGTTGTTGAAAAAAATCCCGTTTATTTTCATTTTTTTTCTTGTTTTCAAATTACGGCCACACGGGTAAACGGCCAAATGCGACATTTTTAAGAGGACAGGTTGTTCAAGACTTAAAACATGACTAAGGATGCCAAACAAGACCTCCAGTCTCTTGTGTGCAGTTTTTACAGATATGGTAATCTTAAACCTATTTTCCTTGCCTCTCTTGTTCAATATTTTATGTGCAGGATAAGAGTCCTGCCTAGTGGTAATTTTTGTTTAAACTGGATGGAGACTGAACAGCTACTGCAAAGACCAAATGTATTTCTACATTGAGTATACTTATATAAACTAACCAGTGGTATTAATGATTAAATAAACTGGTCAACTGCCACCGTCCAAAAACTCCATTTCAATGGAGTTTACACTTTTTTCAAGTTTAAGCAATAAGGAATTGTAAATATCACATGGAAAGTGAACTGGGAATAACCAAAGGTATAAAAGAGAACCAGCAGGTTTTTGTGTACTTTATTATTTCTAAAAATACAGAAGCAGGTGATAGAAATAATAAAATAAATCTGAGCAATGCTTTAAAAACCATTTCCAGCTACACAAGTGAAATAAAAATTAGCACCACTTAGTGGGAATAACAGATTTTGGCCATCATGAAACTATTTATAAAGAAAATACAAAATGTCCTAAAAGTCTATTGAAAACTAAAAATCACAATATTTACTTCAGTACTATGAAACATTTATGAAATTCTAAATCCTCCAAAAAATGGTAGCTGGGCTATTATGCAGTGTCCACAGGAGAAGGCAGAAAGATAAGGATGAGAAGTGTCCTAATACCACACAATATACAGCTCCAGGAAGTGAAGTTCTCTACCTTCAAGCCTCAATACTGGTAGTGGCATGGCCAATATCTACATCCAAGACCTTTGCCAGCACCAGTGAACTTTGTACATATTTTAAAATTACAGTTAGGGACTTATCAGCTTATGCGAAAATCATCAGTAGATACTCTGAGGAGAACTATCATCACCTTGTGTTCTGGAGCATCCAGTCTAAAGCAAGCACAGCTTTTACCTTCTGACTTTCATATATAGATCACCAAGTGACAATTTCATCCTAGAGTAATCCAGAAATGACTTCCTGATGCAACCTTCTGCTGACAGAATAACACAGGTTTGATGAAAAATAATTCCACACAATATTATGATCAACATAACGGCATTGTAATGAAATTTATGCCAAGAAATTTGCAAAATTAATGATCTTTATAAAAAGGAAGCAAAACATTTGAGCTCAAACTCCAGAATGATATTCATATCAGCAAAGGATTGCAAATCTAAACTACATCAATAAAAAGTGTCCCATTTACATTTGGTTCTTTATTTTCTCAAGCACAACTGAAAGATCAGGGAACTTGTACTTGCGAGGGGGCCCTTTCTCGAGACCAGACCATATCAAGTCTGACTTTCCATCATCAAAGGTTATTGTGATCTGAAAAAGAAAAACTATTTGATAGGAGAAAAATTGAAAAAGTTGAACACAAAAAAAGCCTTAACAAAATTTGATATCACCATTGAACAAATCCACAAGAGCCTTGATTGTTTCCAAATGCACTCTAGTCAACTGCATCACCACATGGTAAAAGAATTGCAACCTCGCGGGTGCTATGGCACCCACGAGGGTCCTGAGGCTTCCACTGAAGCCGAACTGTTGTGGTTGCAACTCTTGCAACCACATGGTACATTTTTTGTGCACCAAGTCAAACCAAGCTGTTTTGTATAGTCCAAACAGCATTGCACCACCACAGGCTAGTCAGCTGATACCACCACCTGACTGCAAAATTTCTCTTCATCATACTGTGCTATGCACATAACTAAGCCTAGGCAAAATGCTACTATTGTACCTGGATGGGGTTCTGGTAGTTCTTTTACTCCCCATGCCTGGCCCAGAGTATTATCAGAATCAAGGTCAATAAATCCTGAAAAGGAATAATTTTCCACGTGTATTTTTTTAAAGAAATGTAGCAGTTCCTTTAAGGACCATAGATGCGTCAAACAAAAGCATGTGCTGTGGCTGTCTGCGTTGCACTGTGAACATCCTAACTAGCATTGAACACAGTATCACAATCAGGATCCTTCTATGATACTATATAATCGCAAAAGCAGCAGTTACAGTACAGTACTTTATAATAATCTTTAAGTGAATATATATATATATATATATATATTGTATATATACCACATAAGATATGCTGTTAATTTAGGCTGCATGTGCTACAGTTGATTGATCACACTGCACTAAGGCCTTAACAGCCATGAACGGTGTCCACTTTTTCAGTGGCATCCGTTTACACTAGGACCAAGAAAGTCGATGTGATCGCTACGTACCTGTAGGTACCAGAATTTTAAATCTTACTGTGTTAAATCACTAGACAACTGGCACAGGTTGGTCAGATGTGCTGAGGCCATCCCTGATTGACTTTAGCAGTAAAATTGTAAAAATACCTTGGTGTCATGTCCTCTTATCCATCTTGCCATTCCCAACTTTTATAACCAATTTTACCCAAATATAGGTGTAACATACCAACTCTTAATTTTAAGTACAATATGAAGCATGGCCTAAAAAAAAAAAAAACTAGAGCCTTAATTAAAAAAATTACTGCAAAGTCTACAGTCCTTAACTTTAATAGCTATTCAACTCCAATTTAAAGATTATTTACAATTAATATGGTGAGGCACTCAGACACCGAATAGAAAGAGTGCAGAATCCTTAGGTATACCTAATAAGGATGGGCATAAACACTAAATCCCTGCATTAATTATTAATTAAAAAACACTACCTATATAGTTTTACAAGATACTGCAATTAATCAGGACAGTGTCAGACATTACAGCAAACGAATTGGCACTGGCAATTTAAAAATATATGGGGCATTTACACGCCTATCCTTAAAAGCAGTCATGTTGTGTTAAGTAACGGTACTTGTTGTGTATCAAACGGAACATACCTCAAAGGTTTTACTGCGAGGCTTCTGAGGATTGAGTTCCACCTCAATACCAGGGAACTCAGCTCGAATACCGTCGGTCACCTGAACGGCATTCCGTTTGAAAACACTTCATGATTTGCTGAAAGAAAAGTATTCTTGAAGAGCTAAAAGTGTCCATAGCAATAAACAGTTATGTTTAATGCCAGTTCTAATGCAAAGTCAGGTGTACACTAGTCAACTAACCAGTCTTTAACCCCATTTCCTACGAAGTATGAACAAGCTTATTGAGCTGCTATCAGCTATTCTTAAATTTTTATTGAGCTTTGTTTACTCACCAGTGCTCAACTGAGACCTTCTTTGGTTTCCGACCTCGGCGACCCTTAGCTGGTGGTGCTGGTGCCTCAGACTCCTCTGCTTCCTCTGTGCAAAAAGGGGGGGAAAAAAAAAAGGTAAAATCTTTGCCTACTGACATCACTATACAATAACTTAATGCTAGGGTTAGAAGATGAAGTGCACAAACAATTAACCCTCAAAAATTGACATCTGGCCTGTGCAGAAAAAATAACCACTTAGTTCATAGTATAATACATTGGCATGCAAAATGGAACCACCCTCCCTGTCTTTGTGTGAGCTGAAGCAGGAACCTGTGGTGTGATCACTTTTTGATACCACCATGCTATATTGCTTACACAATGGATATTATGTTGAACAACTAGATAACTATGTACACAATTTAAAAGTGTGAACAGTGGAACCTCGGTCTACGAATGCCCCCAGTGTACAATTTTTTTCGGTGTCTGTAGTAAATTTCATTGTAAAATTTGACTTGTGTATGAAGGGCATGTTCAGTATCCACTATTTAGTTAAAATACCTATATGGGACCTGCTATTATCCTAAGGGGTTAAAATGTCACTAACTTTTTAAGTCATATTTGGGAGGGTGTGTGGATGGATGGTGGGGGTGATTAGAAAAAATCTTTCATTAACACCAGAATCATGTAAGCGAAAAATACACGAGAGGGCGAGTGGGTGGACAGATGGAAGACTGGATGGATGAGTAGCAGGGCGGGCGGGAGGAGTGTGCTACCAGCTGGTGGATCAGGAGGCAGACTGCCCGAGTGCCTGGCTGACTATAAATGCCTAACCATGTGAAATGTTTAACCTTTGGTTATGACTACCTGTCAATGCTTGCCAGAATAACTTTTGTTGTGACTACAAATGTCTTAATTGGTTGCTGCTACAAGTGCAACTGCTACATAACAGATGCAATGAAATGTGTGAAAGGAAAATCTGGAACCAGTGATGCAGATATGAAATGTGTTTAAGGCAAGTAGGGGATGATTTGATGTTATAATTGAAAGGGATGCCCCTTCTAACTCGTAACTCCCTCCTCACCCATCCCATACACCAACACCACTCTGCCTTTCCCCCCCCCCATCTTCCATACATCAACAAGAGTCCTCAGTAAAGGTAATATGTAGTTAAACATGCACTTACTTTATTTACAGTTATATTTATACATGATTGTTTTGTGTATGAAAAATATTAGTACAGTAGTGTTCTGTATAAAATATTTTTAAGTTAAAATTTTCGGGGTGTGGAATGGATTGATTAAATTTAAATTATTTATGGGAAAATTGATTTCGCTCTATGAGCCGTCTCTTAGAACGGATTGAATTCACAGACCGAGGTTTGACTACAGTATTAAGAAGCAATAATTTAATTTCTACTCCTTTTCTTGGCACAGCTAAAGTAAGTGTTTTACAACCACACCTTTACAAAATTCTGATGAGGAATGTCACCCAGGTTAGGGTTTAGCACTAACCTTATCACATAGCAAGCAAATATAAATACAGTTCAACCATATTGATAAAGAAGAAAAATGTTGGATCCATTTTCTTATAGAAAATATGGCAAAAGTAGCCAGATTAGCATTCATATAAAACTATTAACCACATCTTCCACAATTGTAAGCATCGTTGTCCCAAAACATAATGCATTATTTCCGATCTTCCTGCATCCATGGGGTCATTGTTTACTTTTAAAAGAAAAAATATATAAAAAAGAACACGCTTCAACTACAGTGTTTAAATCTCTTCAGCAAGATTGGATGTCACCCTAGCCACAATGGCAGATATATTAAACATTAGATTTTTTTATTAAACATCTTTATTCCTTTCCCAGAACGTGTAGTTACAAGAAACGGCTAAAATGAGCTAACCTTCACATCACTAGATGTACTATTCAAATCACTTGTGCTCTCCTGTCTTGTACTGCTTGATACCGACTCCCTTCAGAGCGAGAGATTGTCGAAATAGAGGGAATACAGAGAACATGTACAGCACAAACACGATAAATCACCTAAATTATTGCGATAGTCTCAAAGCTCTCCAAATGCCCTAGAAAGGAGACGAAAGGGGTATCAAATAATATACAATGAAAATATAAGAGGGCCAGGTCCCAAATCTACACAGTAAAATGCCAACATTCTGGAGTGAACAATATGGAAAGAAATGTAGAACAGAACCAGTCAAGAAAGAGCAGGTGTGCCATAGGCACAATCAGAGAGCAGTGTATAAATATTTGAGGTACACAGCTGTTTCAACATCCTACCAGCGAACACAGTACAGTACAAGAAATATTGCCGGAACAAATGTGGGCACCAAGAGAAAACTAGCTAGTTTTTTTCAAGATGTGCCAGACCAACCAGGCTGGTGGCTATGTGGGTCTGCAGGCCAACCCAAACAGCCTGTTGTACCAAGCTCTTAAGTCAAGCCTGGTCCAGAGCCAGACTTGGTGAGTAGAACAAACAGGATGAAGACATGTTAAGGGGGGGGGGGGGGGGGTGAAGAATGAAAAATAGTCTCTGCAGGGAAGGATATTTGAAATGTGAGAGGGACAATGGAAATCAAAGTGGCCAAGTGAGCCTGGCAAAGAATTTATTTGTAGTAATGAACTAATGGAATGTACTATTAAAATGGAAGAAAGCTATATATAGCTTCAAAAGGTTGATGTGACAGCCCAATAAGCTGAGGAACCTATACCTCAATTGACAAAGCTAAAATGAAGAATTAAAGTGCCTTAGCCCCACCGTCCGTTCTTACTCAACTCCCATTGTCCCACAAAACCCTTTCCCTGCCCCTACCTGGCTCTCACCCTCCAGGTTGTAAATTTTCTACTTGTGCTAGTGAGAATTGAACTTTGGTCATGTCTGAAGCAAAACTTGAATTACACTTTGGGTAATTACCTACATACTGCATTACATAATTAAAAAAATAAATTGGCAGCAAATATTAAAAGGTTACAAATTTCATCCTCATCCAATTTTCATTCTTCATTGCTTGCTGACCAACTCTTAAATGCTCATTTACTTTTGCTTATCATTGAAATTTATTGTAAACAAGTCTTTATACAACTACGAAAAATCAATGAACTAATTTGAGGGGCTGAACCCCACAACATGCACGACACCACAGGATTATTACTCAAGTGGCCTATACTGTACATCAAATATTTCAGAAATTACAAAAATCACTTTCATAGCACAGTGGATGTAAAGCTTATCAGGGAAAAAATGGAACTTGTCAGTTCGTGTATATTTTCACAATGGTTTGCAAGTTACCATGAAAGTACTATACATTTTTTTGTATTTTTTTTTTTTACATAATCTATAAATATGGAAGTGTGCATACATTATGTTGAAAAATATGGAAAATTAAATGTTCACACTTCAGCACCACCACACTTTAAATTTTAATATACCTTTTCATCTAAACATTCACTTTGAAATGTTACACCAAATTAACCCACCCAAAAACATAAAATTAACTATTAAGCATCGCTAAGCAAGGCCTAGAGATGCCCGAAACATTTATGTTGGAGCGTGCAGGGCAGTGTACCATTAACTGATCAGTCAACCCGTCCTCTTACAAATTATGTCGCTTTTCGTGCGTATACATACTCAGGCTAATAATGGACGTAGTTTGAAATAAAATCTGCTTACAATTGAGATTGTATAATACAAGTATATACAATACAAAAATACAAGTCCTCTGGCTTACTCTGTTAGGTTAGGAGAAAAAACTTTCAATTAACAAGTTTCATGACGTTTTGAAACCTTACGAGAACTTCCTCACTGACCAGAGGACCCTTAACTTGCTGTTTGGAGGGGGGGGGGGCCTACAATTCCTACATTTTTAGATTTATTATTCTTAATTTTCAAATACCTCTATTTTTGGCCGTAGCGCAGAGCAAAAAGCTACAATTTATAAGAAGATGGGTTGGATCAATAATGAAAATTTTCAGAATCAATCATTGCAGATAATGAAGACTACCATATATTAGAGAACATTGCAAATATATGGAACAAATACTAGAATACACAAACTATATTTTAAAAAATATGCACTGGCACAGGGACTCATGCATAAATTTTTATCGAGAAGTTTATACTGCACTTTACAAAGCATTAATTCTATACATGTACTGTACCAAGGAACTACTAATATATCCAATCCAGTCAAGGCCCTAACCATGAGATTTCTCAAATTCCACAGAATACTCTTCATAATTTCCCCCCCCCCCCACATAACCATTTATTTTCTGCATTTTGTAAAGAACTTCATGTACTTCCCACTACAAAAGATTCTTCACTATGAATTCAAAACCAATCTTTTTTGCATTTACTGTAATGGTTGAAATAATGAGTTTTCTAACATTTAAATTAATATTTAAGGATGCATTTTCACAAAGCCCTACCCTCAGCAGCAGAACCCTGACCTTAGGCAAGGCTGCAATGAGTGGAAACCAACTACAGGAAAATGCTACTAGAGATGGGTCATAAATGGCTAAAACCAAACACTAGCTGATTTTTATGAATGAAAGACAATACCTCCATTAGTTTCAGGTTCATTCTCCTTTTCTTCTGCAACTCCCTCCTTGCTGGCTTCCTCCTCTTTGGCTGGTCCATCTCCCTTCGACTCTTCCTTTGCTTCCTCTTCAGCTACACCATTTGCTTCCCCATTTGCCTTGGTATTTTCCTCAGACTCTTCTGCATTACAAAACCATAAATGTAACATTTAACTTGCAACTCCAATGAAAACACTGATTACAGTTCACCAACCAAGATCAAGTCTACTACTATACAGTAGAATAGAATATTACGGAATCAAAATTCACCCTAAAAAACCCACAATGAAAGAAAAGCACTACAGCAATTCTCCACAATAACAAATCTGTAATTAAATCAAAATACCAGCCTAGCTCCTGTGTATTTTATTTGGATTTGACAAAACTTACTTTTGGGACACTCTAAGAGCGTTAGCAATGACAAAAAAAAAAAAAAAAAAAAAAAAAAAATTCAAAATAAATCCAACCGGCGCAATACTGTATGTAGTTTCTACTTTCCATGTTTTTACACCCACAACTACTATAGCAAGTGTATTTTTTTCTTGTAAGCCAATTACAAACCATCTCGACCCACCCCACATCAATGGTCAAGTAAGTCCTGCAGCATACTTGTTTAGGCCTACAGCCAAACTAGTTATGAGATTGCCATGTATCCACCAGGAGTGCTGCAATGGTTGTGTGGATTGGCTAGTGCAATGCTATCAAATAATGATTTACATTTTGTCAATGTACCTATACCAACCATGTTGCCCATATGGGTCTGATAGCTACACCAGTCATGGAAAGCCACAAATTTAGTCAAGACTGGCCCCATCTCTGACTAGTGCATTCCTAGGAAATAAAATCTTCACTGTACATTTATCTTGGTATTTTTTTAATTATGTTTTGACCGCTGGCTAGGCCAAAATTTGTTTGGCTTTGACAGTGGACAAAATGAGAGGTTTAGATACCTTTGAATAGATCTACTCTTGCTCATTCTTTTTTATCCACCTACATACATACAGGGGTGATAACTTTGATAGCCAAAAAGGGTTAGTTTTATTTATTATAGGTCTGTAATATGTTCAACAAACTCAGGAAATATTTTAAACTTCTTTGACCTAACCCTTTCTCCCTTATACAACTTTGTTCATCAATTATTTACATATTGACACTCGTTCAGGAGGTACGTATATGACATCCACAATTAACTGCGGGTGTGGGGGAGGGACGTATCTGACGTCTAAATTTAATAATTGTTTAAAATATATTTTATATCCTATCATTTTGGGATGCGTTTTAAACTCATGTCTTCCCATTTTCTGTTAGATGCCACATGGCATCAAGGCACGGGCCAAACTAAAAAGACTACACATTTGTGTGCAGGCGTAGCGGGTGTGCAAAAACGTGCTGTCACAGCTAACGCTTGGCTAACTTTCACCTTTACTGCGGCAAGGGGTGTACTGGGATTTATGTATATGCATACTTTATATATATGCATATACCCCTGTAGGGAATTCTATTGTAAACAAATTGATACCAAAATGGACATAACACAGGAACTGAGGTGAGAATCCAGAAAGGCGTAAAAAAAATTTGGCGAGTGCGCGATCACGGGTAACCCCTCGGCCAATTTGAGTGGTGCTGGTGGCACACTGGGCATTTGGACTTTGTATATATCCCTGGAGGGAATTCTACTGTTAACAAAAAGATACTGTACCAAAACGAAAGCTGTAACAAATATTGAGGCGAGAAAACTGAAGCGCATACAGATTTGAGTCTGGCCATGCGCTCACAGGAAACGCTTGGCGCACTTTGAGGTAGGCTAGGGAGACAGGATCTGCACCGAGGTAACGAAAAACACATGGCTCATAACGTGTCCCTTGAAAAAAGCAAAACAGACACATTATGTGCCTATTTCCACTACCACCTATTCGAGCATACAGCAGTAGTGGAAATAGGCGTATAACGTGTTCATTTTGCTTTTTTCGAGGGACACGTTATGGGTTGTGTGTTTTTCGTTACCCCGGTGCAGATCCCTTTGCTTTTTTCGAGGGACACGTTATGTGCTGTGTTTTTTCGTTACCCCGGTGGGCCGAGCGGACAGCACGCTGGACTTGTGATCCTGTGGTCCCGGGTTTGACCCCGGGCGCCGGCGAGAAACAATGGGCCGAGTTTCTTTCACCCTATGCCCGTTACCTAGCAGTAAAATAGGTACCTGGGTGTTAAGTCAGCTGTCACGGGCTGCTTCCTGTGGGTGGAGGCCTGGTCGAGGACCGGGCCGTGGGGACACTAGTCCCGAAATCATCAAGATAACCCTGTACAGACATCGCTAATGGTCAATGACGTCACCCAGTCTTCATCTTCCTTGTATAAAACCTTTTTCTGTTATGGGGTATTCATTCCCAACCCATACTTATCTGGAAGTTTTATATTTAGTGTCCAGCCAAGGATCGTTTATCAAGCATAGAAATGAATGAAATCCACTATCCATTTCGTTTGAAACAAGGAACAGCAACACAAGAGACCGTTTAGCTGACCATTTATAATCCTTCGCAACTTAAATCTTACTATGGCACAGTAAGAATAATTAAAACCATTAGACCAGTACATATGCCCAAGTAGTATTACCAAATTATGCAGTCTTAAAAATCAGGAAACATGCTACCAAACAAAACAATGTAAATATTATCAGGAATCTGATTCACATATTTGGATTAAAATTTTGCTTAACTTTTGGATTAAAGTGGGCCCCTCAAATCTGGGACCACACCAACCCAGGTGAGGACCCTATAAATGGGCTACAGTACAGTACAGCCATATTGTACAAGCTCAAAAGCATCAGGTGATTGCAATATGTTATTGTAAACCTTGTACAGTACAATTATTTTAATACAATTTCTTTACATCTTTAACCACAGTTGTACAGTGAGTGAGTGCTAGGTATGTGCAGCATATCCAAGTCATGAAATAATTTACATTTGTATGACCAGCTCCTTACTTGTCAACCACTTGACACTCCAAAATAAGAACTTATCCTACATCAATTCAACTTAAGCCTGACCACAGAAACCTATTTGACAAAATTATTTGTTTATATTGGGAATGAACTTAGTTTATTAGCAAGTTACAATCATATTGTTAACGGGATAAATCTGGAATCAAATGTGTACCAGAACTTTCATATGGCTGGTTGATGAATTTCACGTATCTACATGTTCAGCAAACATGTTCCAAATACTCCATTCCATTTGCACTTTAATGATAAAAGGAAAGCGTCCAACAGGCAAGCCCCAGCTACGGTACAAAGACGTATGCAAGAGGGACCTGAAAGCCATGGACGTCGATCTAGCTATATGGGAGACACAGGCTGCAGACCGTTCAGCCTGGAGGCAGGCTGTTCAAAGAGGTCTCTCCAAGTTCGAGGAGTCACTTGCCAAGGAATTGGAGGCAAAGAGACAGAAGGAAAGCCGGTAGCCAGGAAGACAGACCAGAATCGCACTTCGTTTGTGCTCGGTGTGGGAAGGACTGCCACTCTCGGATTGGCCTCATCAGTCACACCAGACGCTGCACCAGAATTGACAACTAGGGCGCAACTCCATAGTCTCCCGAGACTGAAGGATGCCTACTACTAAATATATGAACACATTGTGGGCCCAACAAGTAGTTATCAAAAGAAAGCACAAAGCTGGAGAGACACTGTAGCACCATCAAATCGATGTTGCAAGATAATCAAAAGGTGCTATGTATCACTAAGGATGCCAATACAGGAACAAAAGTGCATATGGCAAGTGATATCAAAGCTATCCGTCACCAAGGATTCTACTGAAGGACAAGTGACTGAGCAGCATCAAGGTACTGTGCAACAGCCTCCACAGTCTCGGCAGGAGAGGAAGAATGAGAGCAGATAATGCGAAAATGAACGGGAGGATGATGTCAGCTGGGAGAGGCAGGTGTTGTGGAGCCAAAAGACGGGGAAGGGGTTAACAAGGGAAGACCACAGGGACAGAAGAGGAAGGAAGCGGAGAGGTGATGCTGAACTGAACGGCAGAAGACTGGGAGCAGAGGGTAGACATACCAGGTGGTGAACTGTGAGGAAGATTCTCAGGGTCTGGAATGTAGAAGAGTGAAAGACTGGGAGCTGCTAAAGTTATTGGGGTCCAAGGTCAGAAAACAGTTATGGAGTTGAGGAAGGGGTGACAGGTGGGGAAAAGTGATGCAACACACACTATTACATCGTGTCAGAGAAAAAGATAGAACATTGAACCTAGTTTTGCCTCAGGAAAAGTAATCCAATCATGTTTTAAATTGTGAATAGCTTTCTCAAATTTGTAGTGTATGCAGGAGGAAAACCAGGCAGGGTTGGCATCACTGCAATTGATGCAGTGGGGCTGAGGAGAAAAACAACACTTAGAATGACTTGGGCCTCTACACATGGGGTAGACTCTCGCCTCGCTATTGCACGGCAAGAGACCATGTCCAAAATTCCAACACCTATTGCAGAGGCGAGGAGAGGGGATGCATTCCTGAACACATCCCCACATTCTACAAAATGGGAGACTAAAGGGATTTACTATTAAAAGCGATTTCAACTACATCTTGGTTATCTCAAGATGATTTTGGGGCTTAGCGTCCCTGTGGCCTGGTCCTCGACCAGACCTCCTTTTTGTTACCCCCTCCCCCCCCAGGAAGCAGCCCGTAGCAGCTGTCCAACTCCCAGGTACCTATTTACTGGTAGGTAACACGGGCATCAGGGTGAAAGAAACATTTTGCCCATTTGTGTCTGCCTCCACCGGGGATTGAACCCAGAACCTCAGGACTACGAATCCGAAGCACTGTCCACCCAGCTGTCAAGCGCTCCCGACATGAAGAGGCCGACTACACGACGACCACAAGGGGATCCAATTAATGTATCAATCTAGAGGATGGAATGGCACTGGGCCTCTAATATATTTAATATCATTGTGGCATCTTAACTCCCTATCTTCCAGTCACATGGTACAAAATTATTGAGGCACTGCTGGCATTTAAGCACACATTTTTGGAGACCTAGACTGGGGTTTCACCAATGCAGGACAACGATGCCAGGCAATCTGCTGCCTCCTGAGAAAGGGGGCTGCAACTACAAGTGTGGCAGTCTGCGTGAAGTATAAAATTGACATG